TTTTTCTCTGAAAATGGCACGTGGCAGGAGAGAGAGAGAGAGAGAGAGAGAGAGAGAGAGAGAGAGAGAGAGAGAGAGAGAGAGAGAGAGAGAGCTTCCATCAGGCTGAGACGCACACACTCACACGCACACATACACACACACATATACGCACACACGCACACACACAAACACACATACGGAGGTAAGTTTTTTTTTCCGTTTGTTTTTCTTTTTTTCTTTTCTTCTTTTTTTCCTTTTTTTCCTTCCTTTCCGCCCTTAACAGTGATGGAGGGGATGCCCGCATGACTTCCCCACCCCCTACAACACCTCCCTGTGCCAAGCAACCCCCACTGCCCCCTCCCTGGCATTTCAACCCCCCCCCAACCTGTTCAGAGTGTAAATGAGCGTTCAATGAACGTGTTCAATAACTGAACACTGAACCCGCGTCACACAGATGGGATGCTGGACCCGATTTCCAGCAGGTGCTGCTTCTCACCAATAAGTGAAGCCTCCCACCAAGGGTCTGCTACTGGAGGTTGCTCATATCACCCCCAATAGCAGCCCCAGAGGTGGCTGTTTTTTGTTCTTCTTTTTTTAGAAAAAAATAAAACGATAGCCATGGCCGAACAAACCAAAAAATTGGCAATACTCTCTCTCTCTCTCTCTCTCTCTCTCTCTCTCTCTCTCTCTCTCTCTCTCTCTCTCTCTCTCTCTCTCTCTCTGTGTGTTTTTCTTTCTTTCTTTTCCCTTACACGCACGCACGCACGCACACATTCATTTTGCTTACCTGGACGTGTAATGACCCACCAAAACACAAACTGACTACACAGCTGAGTTCTGGGTTTTGCCACTGGAATGTATGCCTTGCTGAGATTCCTGCCTTGTGCTGATTTTTCAAAGTCTGTGTGTGTGTGCGTGATTGCTGGTCCGTGTGCCTGTCTGAGTGCACGTCCACCTGAGTGTGTCGCCTGAGTGTGTGTATGGCCTGACAGGGCACTTGTGTGGGGCAGGTACTTACCTGTGGCCGTGACTTTGAGGGTTACAGTGGGGAAAACACTCAAGTGGGGAAAACACTCAAGTAGGCCCGCTACACTTAGGGCATCCGGGGAAAAACACATAAGTAGCGGGTAGGCTGGTACCACTCAAGTAGCGGTAGATGTATAGAGAACTGAAGACCAAGCAGAAGAAGACAAAAGTTGGCATTTTTAGAGGCCCAGTAGCGGTAGGCTAGAGGTAGGCGGGTACCAGTCCAAGTAGCCTGAGTCTAGGGCCTGTGCGGACTATATCAGAGCCTGCAATGATGTTTCCCTTTGAAAGGGAGGAGGTACCTGTTGCTTGGAGGCCGCGTGGCTTGTAAGTCACCGCCCAAGAGGCAAGTAGGCCGCTATGTCTCCAGGTAGAGCAATGGCCTCTACCTCATTTGCGGCATGCACGTTTGGGCGTCATTCTGCTTGAGCGGGCACTGGTTATCAGAGCGCTGCCTGGGAGGAAGGAAGGGAGCTGGGCGCTCTGCCTGGCTATGGCGAGCAGCCCAGCTTGAGGAGGAGGAGGAAGAAGGGGGCGAAGAAGGAGAGTGGCGAGGTACCTACCTAGCTATGGTGGACACCATCTTCATCACCTTGTTAGGCGCTGCATCTGGAAGGCCCCAGTTGAGGTAGTGCCGCACCAAGGAAGCTTCGAGGCAGAGTCAGGCATGGTGGCCTGAAGAGCAGCGGCCATAGCTGCTTCGCGTTGTCTTTTGCACAGGTGGGCAGAGCCCTTAGTCGTCCGCCATAGCCTACTGTAGGCCTGTGTGAGGAAGAATAAGAGGGAGGCCTTGACTATGGTTGACCTCTTGTTAAGCTTGCAGTAACCACTCGTTGTTTTTATTATTATTTGGAGAAGAGTAAGATTGGTGGAGATGACGAGGAGGAGGAAAGTGGAGAGAGAAGGGGGATTTGTCATTGGTCTTGCTGGTGTACATCTTCTTCTTCTTCTTCTTCTTCTTTCTTTCTTCTTCTTCCCTCTCCTTTGGTCTGAATCTCTTTGCAAGTGTTTTCATTTCTTTTGCAATTGGGTGGCATTGTCTTTCCTTGTGAATTTGCACTTCGGAAATAGCCAGGATTGCAATACCCAGTTTTTTTAATATGTAAATGGGACGCTGGACCCGGTTTCCAGCAGGTGCGGCTAGGCTAATCACCTCTCCTAGCTGCAGGACTGGTCTAAAAAAAAGAAGGGGTAAGTAGGTTCATGTCACCTTTGAGTATCGAATGGGCAAAAAAAGCACGTGTCGAAAACCGCGCCGAGTTCGAAAAGGCAACTGAGGTACCGATCGCCGTGAGGTCAGACCGGGTGTCATATTTTATAGGGGCTCGGACCGACTAGGTCCAATTTACGCCTGTGCTCTGTGGTTTTCGATCACGTGTGGCCATCCGGTGACACACGTCAATGGTTGATGATCGTTTTCCGTATCTACTGCTAGTGTCGATTGTCTTCGTTTTCGTTGAGGTAGCTGCCCATCGGCCAGTAGAAAAATTTTAAATTTATTTGTTGGCCATTTAGTTGGCCACGTTGAGTTGGCGAGAAGCTTCAATTCTATGGTTTTTTTTTGGAGGGGGGGTGTTTTTAAAGCTTCGCGCCGTGATTTTTTTATGCAAATAAATTAGAGAATATTGAGATTTCCATGGAAGACTGCGATTGTGTGTGTTCACTGACAGTGCACAGCACAGTGGCAGACCGCGTCATTGTAGTAAGCTGTCCCATTGCAAGCATGGGTGTATGTCGGCGAACATTAGGTCTAAGTACGTTGGCGCTGTCCGGCCTTAGTCTCGTTTACGGGACACATGCACCCCTCTCTTTGCAGGCCCAACAACACAATACTTGCCGATGCACAGGCTGTACTGTCATGATGTCAATGTCAGACTGATTTTTTTTTTCGTTTGGGTCCTTTTCTTTGCATTCGTGTAAATGAAAAAAAAAAA